ACTATTCTCTGTAGGGGATGATTTATTATCCAGATGGGTGGAGCCGGGACTCAAAGATGGTTTCTAAAAATGCAGTTTGTTCCCCCGTTGTAAATGAGAATGCCCTTGAAGAGGTCGTAAAGTATCTTGTATCACACACTATTCAAGTGATGCATTAAACAATGCCGCCCCCACTCAGGGCCACAAGTCTCTGAAAGCCTTCGGTGAGCCTACTTAATTTGAGAGCCCTGTTTTAAAAGGAGAGTGAAGTGTAATTTTCTGAATATACTCCTGTGAAGTTTCTTTCTTTGCTTGGTAGCATGGCACCCAAACCAATTCACTAAACGGTTTTAATCTGAACCTCATTGAATGGATTTTTCTCCCTGTAAATTCATGATGTCTAAAGCTGTCCAAACCAAACGGCAACACATTTGTAAGAAGCTGACGGAATCAATGGGAACCGTAGGAAAGAACATTTTCCTTAAGAGTCTACTCACCCTTTCTTTCTTCTCCTAACCTCCCTGAGGTTCTAGCTTTCCTAGGCAGTGTTCTGATTTGGGCTACTTGAGTTCACCCATGTTTTTCAGGTTGGTTAATTAAATCAGCAGGACTCTGTTTTCCCATGACCCATATTTCAGCCAGTCACCCTGACATAGGTCTGCCTGCCAGACTGAGAGGTTATTGTTCAATATTCCATCTCCAAACTCAGCCATAGGTGGGGTTGTGAGTTCTGTTGCAGAAAAACGTGTGGGACAGTGGGAAAATGGCCATCTAAGGGAGATTTGATCTTTGGTAAGGGGTGGGGGCATTCTAGATTTTCAAGAATCACATCTAAGCTAGACACTTGGAGTTGCCTGCCAAGTATTAACACTTGCTAGGATGCAGATCAAAGAAGTCAGTGCAGTTAGTGGAACACGATGCCTACACCTTCCAGTGCCCAACAGATCGTCCTTATTCCCACCATCCTCTCTCAGGGATGTAACGATTTGATTTTACACACAAGGTAACTGATGCTCAGAAAATAGCTTGCCTGAGGTCTCACAGGCAAGTGAACGAGGAAGCTGCCCTCAGAACCCAGATCCGATATCTCTGTCAACTATGTAAGTGTCTCGGGGGTACTCTGGTCTCCTTTTGGGTCTCTGTGTTGTCTTAAAGAGCAAGGAGTGCTCGTGCGTTAACATTGTAAAATGATATCACTGTATCTGATTTGAGCTCTCTGAATATGAAACTCCAGCAACATTGAAAGGGAGACAGGTTGGGGCCACAGCTTCTGGATTTCAGATTCTTTCCTGGTGTTGAATCTTAGGCAAGTTAACATCAACTCCCTGAAGCGCTCTTTTCCCATCTATAAAGGCGTGTAGTGGTTCCTGCTCTCTCTTCTTAGGGTCTGTTAAGAGGATTAAATGAGATAATGTATGAGATAGCTTTAAGCAAACTATGAAATGTGAAACCATATTATCATCATTACCCTTATATTTCTCTGTGGATGAATGGAAATATGCCACCTGGGCTTTTACTCAAAGCTACTGAAAGACCCCTTCCAATTCTGAATGGGAGTTGTTTATCAAGATGTGCCCTTTTAAGCTTGTATCATTTTACCATTCACCACTCATCTATCAGGCTGTCATTTTCCTGGGGCTTGTATGCGGCTCGCAACGATACCACTGGTATTTCAAATGCCAGCAGCGTCCCCCTGGTTGACAAATTTCAGTGTAGTTTCCAGGCTAAGAAAGACTAGGACGAAGGAAGACGTGATCTAATTCTGAAAAATTAGCCAATGAAAGCCTCCTGAGGAGCAGTGAGATGTTATCTTACATCATTGGGGTGCACTCAAGATACACCTGGGGAAGAGCTCAAAGTAGAGTGCACTCTCATGGTATGGGTGGCGTGAAGCATTCAGGACCTTCGTTTACTGATGTGGCAGGACCCAGAACTTCAAGGAACATCATCAATAAAAAGAATGTGGAATGTATGTAGTGTCAATCTTGGAAAATCGGAAGTTGGTGGAAATTAAATGGAGTGCATACAGATCAATTCTCCAGGCATTAGTCAGCTGAAATTAGCTGGTATTGGCCCTTTTGAATCAGACAATCATACCATCTGCTATATTGGGAATGATAAATGAAGAGGTATGATGTCACATTCATCATTAAGATGAACATGTCAAGATCTGTCCTAACGTCCAACACTGTCACGGAAAGGATAACTCCCATAGGAGCACAAGGAAGACCACTTAAATACGACATTAACTCAGATTGGCACACCAATCAGAAATGCCAAACCTGAGGGAGCTAAAAGATTTTTACCAATACCTGAAGCCTGAAATTCATCAACCGTAGAATGAAGATGCATTGACAATTGCTTGTTTTGGAGCGCTTAAATTATAAACCAAGACGAAGGATCAGTCCTTGTAAAAGATTGCCATCGTGATAGAAATGACACCAGAGATCATGCGGTAGAATTGTCCAAAGACAAATGACTTATTCATTACAAAACCGTTTTTCAATATATGGAGACTATACATACAGACCTCACCAGATGGATGAAAGAGGAATCAAAGTGGCTACATCAGTAGAAGATGATGGAGAAGTTATGTGTGATCAGATAGGGACCGTAAGAACAAGCCAACTGTGGAATAGGCAGGCCATCAATTGCTCACCTGCAAGTTCAAGCTAAAGAAAATCAAAACAAGCATGACCTTGAATGTGTTCCACATTGATTAGAGGCCATCTTAACAATAGCTTTGATGAATTGAACATTAAAATGTCGTTAAAAAGGGTAGAAAGAAAGGAAACAACCAAAATGAGTGAAAGGTGCTCTTTGATGTAGAATAAAGCAAACGAATGCCACAGGATATTTCAAAGCTTGAGAATGAAGTGTGCGGAGTCCTGGAGTCTTAAAACCAAAATGGGAAAGCGGGAGTGGGGAACAGCCAGCATGTAGCAAATTGAATAACCGAGGCAAAAAGACCAGCCTCGAGTTGCAATATTGAAGAATTTCATAGACAAAGCATTGACCCATACTAGGAATATCAAAAGAAAATAGAAAGAATACCGAGTCACTGGTCCAGAAAGAACTGATTGCCGCTCACCTGTTTCAGGAGGTGGCATATGATGCAGACCTGATAGCCCTGCAGGAAGCCGTCCAAGCTGCAGTGATGGCACTGGAGAAAAACATGGAACCCGGACTTGGTGGAATACCAAGTGAGAGGTTTCATCCAAAGGAATGCCGTGCTGTCAGTGCTCGCTCATCTTTGCCAAGAAATTCAGAGCACTTGCCTGCTGACTGGAAGTGATCCACACCCTTACCCATCTCACAGCAAGGTGATCCAAAGGAATGCAGAAGTTACCAAAACAGTATCACTAATAGCACACACAAGCACATTTTTGCTGAAGATCATTTCAGAACAACTGTAGCAGTTCATCCACAGGAAGCGGCCAGAAACTCCCGAAGAGGGCTGCCAATGACTGAAAGCAGAATACCAGGAAGCTGTTTACCTGTATTTTATGGACTATGCAAAGACATCACGAACTATGGATAACATTGCTGCGAATGACCATTCCAGAACATTCCATGGCACTCAGGAGGAGCCTTTCCATAAACCAGGAGGCAGTTATTCAAACGGAGTAAGGGAATACAGCATGATTTCAAATCAGGAAAGATATGTGTCAGGGTTGTAACCTTTTGCAATACTTGTTCAATCTCTGTTGAGCAAGTAATCCGAGACAGTGGCCCAAATGACAAGGAATGTAGCAGCCATGTTCAGGAAGGCTCATTAACAACCTGGCATATGCTGACTTGCCACAAACGAAACAGATTTGAGGCATGGATAGATGAAGATTCAAAAAGTACAGCCTTCAGTGTGGAATACCACTCAACGTAAAGGAAGCAGAAATCTTCACAACTGGCCCAATAAGCAGCATCATACTAAACAGAAATGAGTGAAGAGTTCAAGAATTTCATTTTACTTGAATCTGCAATCAACACCATGGCAGCAGTCATCAGATTATCAAAGTATTGCATTGAGTAAATCTACAACAGAAGAGCTCTTGAAAGTGTCAGAAAGCAAGGATACCATGTTGAAGACAAATGTGTGCAGGAACCAAGTCGTGCTGTTTTTGATCCCCTCAGATGCATGCAAAAATTAGACAGTGAGTAAGTAAGACTGAAAATTAATTGACGCCTTTGAATTATGATTTTGGCAAAGAAAATGCCGTGTATGTGGACAGCCAGGATGGGCAAATATTATGTCTTGGAAGAAAGGCAGTCAGAATGTTCCTCACAAGTGAGGATGGCCAGACCTTGTCTAAAGAGGGATCAGGCCCGGAGAAGGACATCATGCCTGGTAAGGGAAGGGTCGACCAAAAGGAAGACCTTCAACGAGCTGGGTGGCACAGTGGCTGCAACAATGTGTTCCAATGGAGCAGCAGTGAGGTGGTCACAGCATCGAGCAGTGTTTCATGTTATTGCATGAGGGCCCTTCCAAAGTTTTGTCAATAGAAATGTAACCCCCCTCACCTAATATCCAATAAAAATTGTTTTTTAAAAAGTTTTGTCAATAAAGGGAATTAAACTGTCATGGAATTTTCCCATGAAATTTTTGAAGCTCCCTCACACATCATAGGATCAGCATGAGTTGGAACCCACCCAACATCGCCTAGACACAACCCTGTCAACAGGTGGACGAAATTTCACTGGGTTAAGAAAGCGTGGGACTCAAGCAAACATTAGCTTGGGTATTAGGTAATCAGTAGGCCTCTGTGTTGGGCTGTTTGGGTAGCACTTTGATTATGCGTGGACATGGGTATTGTTAGGACATCCTTGAGTATGTAGCAACAAAATGATATGATGCCTTGGGTTTGCTCTTAAATACTGCAAATGAAAAACAAAATCCGCATAGATGAATCAGGTTAACGACACCTCAACAAGCAGGGAATCTGGGCTCATGAACTTGACGCTCTGCTTTCAAATTGGTTTGAGAGGTTTCTTAATACATCTTCTCCCAATGATTTCTCTTACAGATGCAGATTTTCTTTTACAATCCAGACGACTTTGACAGCTTTCAAACCGCACTTTCTGAAAACAGAATAATTGGAGCCATGGCCATATTTTTTCAAGTAAGTTTACAGTGGCTGAAGTGCTTCATCCAGAGCGTTCTCTGAGTATTTTTTTCTTCAATTCACCGATTTGTTCTATGTTTAATGAATGCATCTGTTTTCTTGTTCACACCTGTCTAAATGAAAGATATTTCATATTGTCTAATGTGTGATTTAAAATGTAAATAAGTATGTTTAGAAACATAATGAAAATTTTTGCATGAATTATTCTGATTTTATTGCTACTTGACTGGTGCACAGATTGAAGAACACATTTATCATCTAAGTTCTTTCACTGTTGAAGCATTTTATAACAACTTCCTTCAGCATATTAAGAAGCTGATGGTGGTGTTGGGGTAGGGGGTACGGTGAAGGGAAGTAAAAGGTAGTTTCCTTTGGAGCAACTTTAAAATTTGACAGTACTTGCAAGTAGATTAATAAATAGCATCAGTCACTTCTCTAAAGAGATCCTTTTCTTTCCCTCCCTCCCAGAAATCCCCATAGCAACGAAAGTTTTTCTTGAGACCATTTCTAAGGCATCTGTAAACTCCCATCCTTTTCTATCTCACTCAGTGTGTTTATGGCAATGAATGTGCATGGCTCTCGTGTCAGTTCTACACACAGAAGCCCTGTTTCCCTCCAAAGACTTGGGGACCAGGCTGCCGAATAGGTCCAGTCCAGTGAAAGTGGTGTTGACCAGTGAGCCCCTCTACCAAGTAGCCTCGAGATAGGGGAGACCCTTTCTCGAGCGGAAGGTAACCTGAGCAGTAAGTGTGTGCCTTGTCTTTCAGTCTGAAAAATCTGCCAAAAACGGCATTCATGCAGGTGTTCCTTTTACCATAGTAAATCCTGTTGGAAAATGAAAGACAACAGACCTTTTCCAACACAGGCGTGTAACATCTGCCTTTTCTGAAAAGCCTCTTTGTCTCTGAGATACAGCCTTAATGTCCCTGTCCTTTTAATGAGACACCCGAGTCACTATTATCACAGTCTGCTCATTCCCTCCCTCTGAGCCCTCACTCCTTTCTTAGCCCTCTTGTGCGTGCTCTTGCGCTCTCTCGCGCTCTCTCTAGTCTCTTGGATATAGGTTCAGATGGGGGTTGGGTGTGAGAATTTGAGAAGGCTAATATCCTCTTCAATGTTTGGAGTGATGGGAGTGGTGACCATCAGCACTGGCTGTAGCACTAGCGTGGGTGTTCCACCTCTGGGTCATGAACCAGTTGTCCATCCTTTCCTTGAGTCCTGACCCACACCTCCATTCATCCATCATGCCTTGCCATCCTCTCATTGAGTCCTGCTCACCAATTTTTCTGTCTAAATAATGGACTAGAATAATTTAGAATAGAAACTTGGCAATGAGCAGCTTGTATCACATAGAGTAAAGGTAAGTACGTTGTACAACTTTCGTTTTTATTGGTTTACACATTGGATGTTTTCTGGACCTGTGTATCAAAGTCAAATGTTTCCGAAGCTGTTGTTTATACAGTGTGTTGGACTGGTCTCCTCACTGGGCTCCTCATACACATCTCTTCTCCCTGATTCCTGTCCTGAACCTTTAGACAGCCATGTTTTAAGATCTCATTCACGGGAGTCAGAAAGATTTCCTTCTTGCTGCGTATGGTGATGCTCAGTTACTGAAATTTGCCAGTCTCATTGTTGGTATCTATGAAATGTGGCCTGATCTGTTCCCAGATCATCAAAATTGAAGTAGGGATTGAATGAAATCCTGATTGTTTCCTGGTGGTGATGGATGTGGTGGAGGAGAGGACTCATCATTCAGTAGTAGCAGTTTCCTTTCATACTATAGTCCCGGGTTCCATTCCCAGCCAGTCCACTTCATGCACAGTCTTCTCACTGGAGAGTTCTGTGTTGCTATGAAGCTGATCCGGTTTCAGCAGAGTTTACAGACTACAGCAGACAAGGGGAAAGGCCTGATAATTGAATTCTTAAATTAGCCAGTGAAAATCCCGTGGATCACAACAGCTCAATCCAGAACCCATCATGAAGCGGGCACAGGACCTGGAAGTGTTTTCTTCTTTTGTATATGGGCTCACTGTGCATCTGGGTCAGCTCCATTAGAGCTAAGACTTATAGCAATATAGTCGGCGCTTGGTAAATGCCAACCAACTGCTAGCCACCCATCACTGTATTTCTAGGATGAAGATCCCATGCTATAGGCAAATTCTTTTCATGATCAAAAGTCTGTTCTGGGCATTGCCCCTTTGGTACATTGCTTGGGTTCTTGTCCTAAACGTTAATTGCTTGAAAGGGATTAATGTATTTGGTTAATCCCTTGCTATCTGACGTTGTCCTTCTTGGCATGCTGCTCTGGATACAGCTAAATCTCTGCACCTTTAGCCGTACCTACAAGGTATTCAGCCCCCTTCTCTGTCACACTCACAGATCCCCAGCACAGCCTATCATCCTACCTTATAGGGCCCCATTCTTATAGGAAAATAAACTTGGAAAATGTGTTTATATGTACTGAAAGGACTATTTCCCAGCATGCTCTATCCAAATGCTTTTATTTGTCTAGCTCTATAGATGCTTGTTAAATCTGAGACCAATTAGAGTCACAGGCAATCAAGACCCATTGGTATGCGAACCAAGAAAATATCTCAGTGTGAAATCTAGGTTTTGAATTTTCAAAGTGTTTCTAGATAGAGCTGCTAGTTCACATACAAAGACATTTAGTGCATTTTCACTTCTTAAGTCTTTGTCTAAATTTTGGGTTACTGTCTTGTAGACACAAAATAGAGTGCAGATAATAAAAAGTAGAACAGAATGGTATTTGGGTAACAGCTGTATTGAACCGCTTTCCTTGTTTTCCTTACAAATTCACACTATACATTTATGCATGTGGGTTCACACTTTATCATGCATTGGGGGAAAGTATTATTGTTACTTTCATTTGCAGTCTAGTGAGATCTCGTATTTTGACATTTTTGTATTTTTGAATGCTTCTGTAAGAATGCTAAATTTGAGATTTTGGAATTTCTCCTCCAAATACTCGGAGACATCCTAAGACCTAATGAATTTCCAAAGTCAGTTGTGCCAAGTTCACGTTTTTTGGTATTCGGGGAATCTTCCTTGCCTCAGCAGTGCAGTTTCTGTGCTGCTACATTGAATAAATAATAAGCATAATTGGTTTCTGTCCCCTGAGGACTTATTGTTACTATCCCGTGTGATGATGGCTAGAGAGCAGGGATCCGAGAAACCTCTCCCCTGGAAAGTGTTCATGAGTTCACACAGTCATTATTCAGAGCACCCGGCATGGCGCTATGTCCCCACCCCCAAATCCGTGTCAACTTTGCTAGTCCATGAACCTCAGGATTATGTAATGAAATCCTATGTGTTGTAAAGGCTAACCCCTCCTACTTTAATGATGCAGGTTGGGAGGTCGTTATGTTAATTAGGCAAGGGATCATCTATAGGATTAGAATGTGTATTGAGTCCATCTCTTGAGATTTAAGAGATTAAATAAGGGAGTCGATATCAGCGGTGCCCGGTGGCACTGAGAAAGATGAGCCAGGGTCTCTGTGCCCAAGGCCAAGGCAAGATTGATGCCAAGACAAATGACAGTCTCTAAGAAATACTGGCCTCACAGGTGGTGAAGGGAGACAAGATCCTCCCCCCACAGCTGATACAAAGAGAGCAAGCCTTCCCTTAGCGCGGTCCTGAATGCAGAGTCCTAGGTCCCTAAACCGGAGAAGGCATCTCTGTTTGTTAAAGCCATCCGCTTGTGCACTTCTATCACAGCCACCCAAGGGAACGAGGACCCCGAGTGACAAGGGGTGAGTGACTCCATGTGTGCACATCTAGCCAAGGTTGCATCCTTGCAGACACCGGTAGCCTTCGTGCAGAGGCAGTCCATACAGCTAATAATTTGCGACACTGTCCGTTTTTCGTTATTTCAGTTACTCTCTCCTTCTTCACCTCATTCCTCTTAGTCCAAGTAATTTACATGCTTTTTCTGCCTTTACTGCAATTACATTTCATGAAGTTTGTGGTATTTAAGAAAGAAGCATGACCCAGATGGTACATGATGGATAAAGGGTCACGTGCTGACCTAAGACTAGGGGTTGCCTGCGATGGCCCTATTATGGGAATGATTTGTTAAACCTTCACAGTAGTCAGTCACTATTCTATTATTTTCTTTCCTGGTGTTAAATATGGGAGGTTTCACATAACAAGTCTTGACGGTCTGGCTCACAGTGTCCCCATGGTATTAATCAAGATTTTAGTAAGTGGTTGGCTGCTGGCTTTAGTGGGCTGTGTATCCTCATTCCATCATAATACCACGTCAATGTGATTTTAGGGCCAAGATCTCTGTCCTGGTCCTCAGTAACTGTGAGTGCTAGCTGACATCTTTGGATTGCAGGCAGAGCTGAAGGTCTTTTCTGATGAGCAATTGTGTTAATACCTGCGAGAATTCCAACACTGCAAGCTAGCATGCCAGGCCTTCCCCTGTGCAGCACCAGTGCAGGAAGGACTGTCTCCGGAAAGGACATCACCTGGTCATGCATCTTTGCTTTGCAAACCTCCATATGGTGTATTTGATAGCAATTGATGGTGGGATTTATACTACAGCTTACAACACGTGGTAATCATCTTCTGATTCACACAAGTCACCTACAACAGAAACCTTATGGAATTTTAGGGGGAGAGCCAAATGATAGTTTGGAGACAGAAAACAGAGAGGAGGTAAAATGGGTGAGGCTGCCTTGTGAATGCGATGAAACAGAGTGTATATGAATCCTCGAATGTAAACCTGATGATCTGCTCTTTCAACCTTCGCCCAATGTTAATTGAGAAAGTATATGGTTATACTTTTTATCTTTGTTTTCATTATTGATTTTGGAATTTTCATGGTATAGAATACTCATTTGAAACAAAACATTAATGAACAATGATGAGGGATAGGAGTCATTCAACTAACCCCTACTTCTGTCCAAGGTGGAAACAGAGCATCCACTTCCATCTAGTAATGCTGACTCTTAGCGACCCTCTACAGGGTTTCC